TCAGGGGATACGAGTTCATTTGGACCTGCAAACAAGAGCAGTTTTCCTGTATTAACAGTGAGTAAGGTTTATGGCATTCAGTCCCAGCTTAGCAACAAAGAGTGACTCAGACTTCCCTTCTCATCAGACAATAGCGTTGCTGAGACTCCAACCACAGAGCACAGGGTTTGATTGTTAATCAAAAAAAGCTACATTCAGGTGCTGCATCTTTGCTGCAGTTCTGGCTTTTGTTGATCATTTGTGATGATTTCCTGGAAAACTGAAGAGAACATCAAATTTTTAAAAATTACTCTAATGATGGGACAGCTGATTTGTAAGATAAGGAACACAATATCTAATGTCATAGTGCATTCCATCTAGTATTGTAAACATTTCCATTGTGTTCCAAAGATAAGCATTTTACTCCACATATTCTATAGGAAAGTGTCCTCTTTGTGATGAAAGCATGTTTTCCTTCTCAAACCAGACCATAATCATCTTTCCTGCGCTACCCTACAATTGCTTTTCTTTTCCTTCTAGTGTTCTAAGAAGTTAGCAACTCCTGTTTTATTTTTCAGGAACTCAAGTTTAGATGCACATAGGGTTTCTCTGTCCCAGATACTGTATTGGATACTGGGCACCACTCTGATACATACAAAGGATCCAGTCTTAGTGAAAACTAGGTGTGGTGAAGGCTATGCCCTATGTTTTACAGTTGAGAAAAAGAAGGCTTAATGAGGTTACAGACCCTGCTCAAACATTTCAGAAGGGTTTCCCAGCTTGTTCTTACGATGTTAGACCTCTAACTCTTTCCACAAAATGAGAGGTTTTCCTCACTGATTACTTAATGAGGAGGAAAACAAAATGAGTAGTTTTCAAATGATGTTCTGTGGAACCTTAACACTGCAAGAACATATTTTGGGAAACCTGCAAATCTGAGGTACAAGTCTCATGTTTAACTGTTATAAACCATATTTTAACACACTAAGGCCTATCTTCCATTGACTTATGCAGCTAGGTGCATGAATTTTTGTGCTTTACTTAAAATAAAATTTGTCATATCAACTCTGTATAAACATTTAAGCTTTTTATAAATGTTCTGATAATTAGAAATAGTTTGTGTACCATTCCTTTGTTATATTCATACATGTTAATGCTTTCATAAATTCTACAAAAAAATCATGCATTATATTTAACTAAATGTCAAACAGCACAAAAAAATCTGCTAGATGCATTAACCTGTCATAATATGTAGTGTATTGTGAAGCTAGAGTCAAATATACAGCAAGTCTTGTGTTAATCATATGATATTACAAAAATAGAGGTGACTTTTTTATTAAAAGGAATTCATTTCATTGTTAAATATGACTATAATTATTTCTGACAATTTTAGTTCACTTTTAGTAGTATAATATCCCTTTCAGTCGTTTGAGATTATAAATTGATTATAAAGACTGTGCAGATATTTTCTACATGATTTATGATTTTTTATTCAATCAAAACAAAACAGATCAATAGAATGGTGATTCTGACACTAGGTTACAGCTGCCTTCCCCAGCTCATGAACTCAGTTTGTGTGGTCATAAAAAATTTATCAGTTGTTAACAAATCTTACCAATTTTCAAGTTCAAAAATACATCCAGTAGAAATAGCTTTGTTATCTGTTCTATAATTAGTAGACTTTCAGTTAAATTTTTCTCTGAAAAAAAGGATTCTACTACTTTGAAAATTTTAAAAACAGTCTACTATAAAGTTCCCAAATTGGCAAATAAAACAGTACAGTACTGTACCATAAAAGAAAAATGAACATATTTGAATGTACTTATAATTTCAGGTTATAACAAACTGAGGGAAAACACATTTTATTCCTTTTCATTATTCTCCAAACCAAAGCCATAAAGTATTAACTTTTAAAAAAGTATTATTTAATTCTCAAAAGACATTTCAACTATAGAACCCCTCAGAAAAAGAAGTAAGAATTTAATTAACACAAAGGTGAATTTGTAAAATTGGATAACTTTAGTCATTATAGCATTGCATATTTCATTGTAATATTTTCCTAGCCAAATACAAGTAAGCTTCTATAATTGCCTAAAGAAATGCATTTGAGAATAAAGGAATCAATCTCCTTAATGTAGAGCATAGTACATAGAAATATCTTCTTCCTGTAATAAAATAGTATTGGAAACTATATTTTCTACTTGAGGAACAATACAAAGACAACTCCTCTGTCTCAGAGGTCAATCATTCCAGACAAATGTCAGTTTTTTATCAGTCAAATATTCATGATAGTTCTTTTACAAGGAATCTCTCTCTAACTGGTGCCAAACCCCGTTCCTCCCATTTAGCAAAAGCATGACCGATACGATTCTCCATATTTTGTTCTATACCATCAATTCTTGATCTGTGCTGTATCTTTCTCATCATTAAGTAAACATTCTTTTTGTTTGTAGCATTTAGACAAAACAAGATACAAACAAAACAAAACAACCTTGTCAAACATCGTAGCTGCCTCATCACAAATCTTTCTATTCATAGCAAAACTCCTATGAGTACCATCTGTATGTTTGCTGACTTTAATTTTCCTCCTCCTCCTTTTCTTTCTCTTAAACTCACTCCACTGAACACTGTAAAGCTATTACTCTTATCAAAATTACCTATCGCCTTTACATTTCAAAACTCAGTGACCAAATTTCCATCCCCTATTTACTAGATTTAGCAACAGCATTTGTCACTGCAATCCATCTCTCCTCCCTACACCTGGTTTCAGGTGCATCACAGTCCCCTGAACTTCCTGCCTCACTGCTTGATCTGTCACACTCTCCGCTGCTATTTCTTCCTGTCTTCCCCTGATATGTTGGAATACCACAGGAATTTACACATCATCTTTTTCTATAATGAGTCTACTCAGTTATCATTTGAAACATCATTGTTCCCAACATCATATGCCCAGTCTGAATTTCACATGAACACCAGACTTAGGTATCTGATTATCTAAAATCTCCACTTATGCATTCAATAAACCTCTCAACTCTACCACCAAATCCCCACCATCCATAATTTCCTCATTTCTATTAGTGGCAATTCCATTTTTTTGCAGTTTCTTGCATCAATAATCTTAGTATTATCCATGTTTCTCTTGTGCTCTAATTCTCAAGAAATTTTTTTGTTTACCATCAAACTACATCCCCAAGTACCAATCCTTCTTGCCATGTCTGATACTCTCCCCAGCCCGCATTCCTGCAATTCTTTCCTAAATTATTGAGGTAGATCTGACAGTTCCTGCTGTCTCCCTGCAATGTCACCCTTCTCTCTTGCCCCAGAATAGTCTCAGGAAAGGGCCAGAACAATCACATTAAAAGGTGTTACATGCAGTGGGTCTGAGGTGTCAGGGTCACCAGATTCACCCTCTCTAGCCCTGCTTTTCTCTCCAAAGTGAAAATAAGAGGAATTAGAGACCAAGGCAAAGCAAAAGTTATTTTATTATAAGTACTGGAGGAAGCAGCATAAAGCTACCCAGGCAAGGAGTGGGGCGCTTAGAGCTGAGACACCTCCTAGAATCTGGGGCTGGGGTTCTGTTCTGTGGGACAGGGGGGGTCCCATCTCCATCCCGTGAGGGTCAACACTTGATTGGTTAATAAACTTGTTGCTAGAGGCCACAGTAAGTGGGCTGACTGGAATTTAGAAGAGAAATTTGTTTTTCTATTGTTGTTTTGTTTTGTTTTTTAAAAAGCAACCCAACTAAAGAGGGGCATGGTGTAGCTAGACAAAGGAGGTGTCAAAACCACAGTCTGCCAGCCCAGCTACAAAGAGGCAAGTGTGAAAACCACAAAATGTCATCTCCACTGCCTGCTACTTGCTGAGATGCAGAGACCTCTTAAAGTGACCCAGTCCCTAATCTAATCCCACCTAAGAATCCCAGTGTCCCTACAAAGGTAAGTCAGATCATGTCCCTCCTATGCTACCTGACCCTTTGTTCAGTCTGCTTCAGTTACACTGGCCTCCTTCTTATTCCTCAAAGGCCAGGCAGGTTCCTGCGGTTGGGCCTTTGGATTGGTTGTTTCCATTTCCTGCAATGTTTTTTAAGTCTTACCCAAATGTCACTTTCTTAGGTGGTCCTTAGCTTAACTACTCTAATGAAAACTGCAACCAGTAAGGAACCTTTCATCAACCCTTATCTAATTTACCTAATTATCTTTTTTTCTCTTCCTGGTACTTACCCTCCTTAGACACAGGCTAATTGTGGAGACTTGGATAGTGTGCTTATTAGGTATCGTCTCTGTTCCTCTACTAGATACAGTTTCTACAAAGGCAGTGCATATCACCTTAGCTGGTCAGTAAGGAGTCTTTGGCACCTGAAATGACACTGTCCCATAACAGATGTTCAGTAAATATTTGATAACCAAATGCTTTTGTTTTCTGATGTCTACTAATATTTTTGCCAAAACATAGCAGGCTAGAAGTTTGGAGTCTGTTCCTCCTATCTGGTTCTGTTTTTCTTTCTGTGTATGATTTCTCAACGCTAATCAGGACCTTTAAAATTTATCCTTGTTATTTTTTAAACACAAAAAGTGGTATGTATGCCAAGAAAAAAATACAAGCTTTGAAGGTAGTCTGAGATATTGCTAATTATTAACTAACTGGCAATCATATTTAATTTGCACATCATTTGTTAAATGGTTATTAAGAATTTCAGACAGTGATGGCAGAACATCAAACCAAGCATACAGCCCACTTGAACACAGAAAAAATAATTGGAACTATGTGACAGTTTTGACATGTGTAAAAGTTGTGAAAGTTTGTAACATAAAGCTTTTGAAAGAACCAGACACATTTTTCAAAATCACCTATCACAAGCTAGGCATGGTTGGCTCACACCTGTAATCCCAGCACTCAGAAGGCAGAGGCAGGAGAATCGTTCAAGACCACTCTGGGCTACAAAGTGAGCCCAAGACCAGCCTGAACTGCAATAGTCAGACCCTGTCTCAAAAATACCAAAAAAAAAAAAAAAAAAAATCACCTATTACCGTAGTTATATAGTCATATTGTTACAGCTTATTACCACTTTTGATATTTTACTCTTAGGATCTATTGAGTGCAAATAATAACAAAACAATGATGAATGATACTTTGATTTTTTAGCAGATTTGAAAAGATCAAGTCCTTTTATTTGGAAATCTATGATGTGTGATCGAAAAATGTAATGTGCATTTACATTTTTAAAAAAGACTTATGACAATAAAACTGTTGCTTTCCCTCAAAATATGTTTCAATTCAAACAGATTTATTCTATCATTTTTGTCACTTTTTGACATAGGTCTGGAGATCCTCTTTTGTGTTTTTAGTTGTGCTGTTGTCGTGGCTTCAATGTCCTGAAGGAATTCAAAACAGTTAGTCTTCATAGTGATTTTCATTTTAAGAAAGAGCCCAAGTCGCACGCTGTCAGGTCTGTGGATGAGGGCGCACTGCAGTGCTTTATGGGCTGTGTCTCCACTGGACAGCGCTCCGCAGCAGCACTCACCTTCCCACTTCACAGAGACATTCATCTCTCAGAAAGTAGCAGAACAATGGGACAGATGAGTCTGAAGAAGGGCGGGGGTATTTTGAAGAGAATTTATGATAATCTCTCCTTTACTGTAGTGAATTTTTTAAGCAAAATTGTATTTGGTGATCATCTCTTGTATAAGTGGTTCATTAGAGTAAAAGATTATTGAACTACATCTATCAAGTATTTTGGGGGAGCAAATAATAATTAATAAAGGCATAAATAGAAAAGCACATTCAGGACTCCATATTATTTAATGAAGCAAGATACTGTACTCCTTCTTCTGCCTTATTTTCTTCATGTATAGAAGGAAGAAAACTGAACCTCTTTGCTTACAGTTGAGGAGCTGCAGTGAACAGACAGAGGACTCCCCGGATCCTAGGTAGGTCTGACCTCAGTGCAGTGACTGTGCTCCAGGCTCTGGTCCCAACTTCTCAGATTCAGAATCTCTCTTTTGTTAGTATCTGTAAACACATAAACATAAAAAAACTCATTCAAGCAAGCTGAACTGTGGATGTCTGTTTTATAATTCTGAATGACAATTATTAAATTACAATAAAAAAATAAAATCAGATGAACAGCTCTTGGTTATTTTCTCAGAGTGTTCCTGTGGTGGGCCAGCTCACTTCAGAGGCTAACATACAGGTCAGAAGTTTGGATAAAGAGCTCTGGATCATGGCTTGCCATCCTCCTGCATCAGCCTCCCAGGGTACTGATTACAGGTGTCTACCTCTAAGACTGGCTTGCTGGTGTTTCTGTGGTTACAGCACTCTGGAGGTGAAGCGAAAAGGTTGTGGGTTGAGACAAGCCTAGATTACAGGGCAAGTTAAAAGTCTGTCTCTGAGACTCTGTTCCAAAACTAACAAAACAGAAAAGAAAAAAAGAAAAGAAAAGAAAAAGAAGAAAGAAAGCTTAGAAACAATCCAGAAGTTAAACTGCTGTCAGTAAAGGGAGCTATCCCAGCTGCCTCTTTTCATGAGGAAATATTTTATTGCAGTAAATTGTGCTTTTCAAACCAAAAAGACATCTGTCATATAATAATTTGAATACCATTTATTATTTTATATATCATTTCTTCTCTTCTAGCCTCCAGATAGATTATTGTCCTTCAATTAATAACCCTTTCATCATCACTGTGTTTTGTTTTTGTTTTTGTTTGTACTGAGAATTGTAGTCAGGGCCTCTGCACCAGGCTGCATCCCCAGTCTTTTTAATTTTGACACAGGGTCTTTCTTATTAAGTCTCTAAACTGCCCATACAAGGCTCCAACTTGCAACCCCCTTGCCTCAGCCTCCCAGAGGGCTGGGGTTACAGCATGAAGCACCATGCCCAGCGGCAGGTACATTTTCACGTAGTAAGTCTTCTCTTTAGCTACATCTCAGGCAATTAGCTGTACCCTAGTCACATTAGTTCACCACACATACTAACTCCCAATTTATAAATTATCTTTTTAAGAAGCAGCGCTTCATTGACGCTAACATACACAGAACATGTGTTGGGATCTGACAGATTTGACTTAACTCACAAGCATCTGTAAGCAAGTTAACTAACTTCTCGTCACTTCAAAACCTTCATCTTTAAAATAGGAACAATACCTACTGCTGGGATTCATTAAAAGACTACATGGTCTGGATGATAGTTATAAACTTCAATGTTTTGGCCCAAATTAAGGACTCAGCAGTAACACATACAGGCATCAATACCTTCAAACATTTTATAACACTTTTCTGTGAATATCAGTCTCCCAACGTGGCCTTTGGCATTCCTTTGTCTCCAAACAGAGGAGGGCCCTCTACAGCCCTGTACTTTCCAGAATTAACTTTCTATAAGCCAACACATGCACAAAGGCAAAGGCAGGTGAACTTCCAATGGCAAGATACTCTTCACCAATTTGAACCTGGTAAACTACATACTCACAAGCTAAATTAATTGCAGCTCTTCATGTTGCCTCTTCTGAAGGTGCAGCTTGCGGTTTCCTCATGTGGCCAGTGTTCCTTCCTCTACTGAACCCATCCATTCAGGAAAAGAAGTTTAGCATCCCCTTGTCACATTTAATAAAAATCATCTGTACCATGAAATTCTGTTTTGTTTAAGATTATGATAGTTACCAGTGTGGGCTATGCAAACTTCGGCCTTTTAACTCCAAGACTATTTTTCATTATATTTCATTGTTAGAAGGATCTGTTTCTGTATAATTAAATGTGGCTTTCTTAAACCTTTACAGTTGGTAGCTTAATGTATTTCTGTTTTATTTCGAGTACAAAGGCTACATTATGCTTTTGTTGGCATCAATGCTAGCTAGTATGCCAGTTCTATAATTTCGTTCTCTGCAATATGTCAGTATTTGAGTGCCTTGGGCTCAACAGGTGGTGCTAGATAAGGCTCTGGCAAATCAAAGAGGTAATACGGTTATTTCTTTTGTCAAATTATAATTAAAAACAGAGTCTTTGTAAAACGAGACCTACATTTTCCTGCTTTCAAAAGGGCTCAGCGTCCAATACAAATCATTTTCTATAACAAAGACCTATTAGTAAGAAAGCACATTGTCTGCACACATATGCAACACCTTCTGATCTGCAGTCTTATTGAACTCTGTAAAGTTAATTTGCAAACCTGAGGTGTGAGCATTGCTACATAAGGTACTGGCTTTTCCATTCTGCATAATTCAGAAGTATGAATTTAAATCCATGCCAAAATGCAACAGGAAATTTAAACATTGTTATCTATTACCTCATAGAATGCTAAAGAACTCTTAGAAATGATAAGAAATGCTTGGAATATTTTACTTAAATCATGTACTTTACCATTTTTCCTTTGTGTGCTATGGTGTCCTAGTCCATGGTTATGAGGGAGAAAGTATAGTGCTCTGTAATCAAGAAACTGGAAAGATCTTAACCCTTTTTGAGTTAGGTCTCTTTTCCTTTAATCTAACTTCTGATCCTGGCAGAGAGCCGGGCCCTACCCATAGTTTGATGGAGAATGAGAGGCATATATACCTGACTTTATGGCTCTGCAATTTGTTCCCAGTAAGAGCTGCTTCTGAAGGGCAGAAAGATGTGCTGTCTGGTTACTTGCTCTTTTGTGCTCAACATAATCCCAGAAGGAACAAACATGGCAGTGGTCACATGAAGCTCTTCCCAAGAAATGGTCAGCATTGTCTTCCTGCAAATCAAGGTATTTGAATATTCTGATTTGAGAAGAAATCTATTGAATTGTTCTTTCGTTTCAAAAGTATTAGATGACAAGGCAGTAATTAATCTGAACTGTGTAGGAAATTATCTGAATAAAAATCAAGGCTAATAAAAATTATTAACCTCAACTTCTTCTCTGCACACCAATATCATCATATATGGAGATACCTGAGTGTCTAATATCATTTAGATATAACACACAAAAGACTGAAAGAAAGTTACTCAGGAGATGGGTCAGACCTATTTTCTCCTTTCAATTGAATTTTCTTTTATGGTTCAAAATAAGATACGTCTCAGCTAAACATATTTGTCCTTTCTCTAAGCAGATAGTTTCTTAATATCTGCATATTACCAAACCTCATGAGCACCTGTGTATAAATATCTGCTAGTTCTAAAATAAAGATTTACTGGTTTGACTAAACAGCATCTATATGGTATATCTTTGTTTGACTTTATTTATAAAGAATATAGTCACTTTCTGGTAACAGATCAACAGTTAGGTTTTCAGACTAAAAGCCTGAGATAATTCAATTTTTACAGATTTTAATTTAAAATATAAGAAAATTGAGTGCATAAATATTACATTACTAGCAACAGTCAACACTAGTATTGTCCAGATATGCAAATAGAAAAATAATTTCTTACCTATCATTTTCTTTACCTGAAACATTGAGAATCTCGGCTAAATAAGAAGTGTTCAAAAGTTTGAAAGCCATATCTCTATTTAGGCAAAACAACATTAAGATATAACCTTAGTTCATATAGTGCAATGGACAGTATACCCTGTACATTAACTTTTCTTATTTGGGCCCCAATTACAAACGTGGCATTGAGAATTACCTAAGAAATACCTATGGTTCCAATAACTAATGAACAAGCTGGTTTCTGGGTGCTGGCCCAGTTCCACAACTGCACAATTCTAACGTCCCATGATGCCCTGCATTTTGTTAAACATTTTACAAAGCACATTGCCACATGTTACATTTCTCTGAATCTTAAGAAATAGAGTGGCATCATTACTCCTATTTTGGAGCTCAGACAGCTAAACCACAGAGATACTAAGGTTTTTTGTTTTTATTCTTTTTTAAAATTTATTTATGTATTTATTTGGTACCGAGGATTGAACTCATTTCTGCATTGTGCTTGCCAAGAGGTGCTGGCCTCTGAGCTATATTCCCAGCCCCAATCACAGAGGTATTAAAGTGATTATATCAACAGTCAGTAAGGCTAAAACATAAAGTAAAAGCCATAAAATACTAACACTTGTTTTTCACTTAACAGCTTTTCCTATATACACACTGCCATAGGTTTTGATGCTTTTGATTTTCTTATTAGTCAGATTTACAGTACATCACACTTACATCCATTCTGGGGAGTTGGTACATGAGGATAGCAGGCCTTGACCATTTTTGGCAAGGTTCAAATAAGCCTCTCAAATTTTGATCATAAGAATGAAGGAAACACTTTACTGAAGCTAAAACCAACAAACTACCAAATTCAGGAGTTTGAATTTAGTAAGTTAGTCACTTTTTTATTCAATGTCATACTGAAAAATTGTGGCTAGGATTAGTTATTCTTATTCTCCTCACAGGATTTTAATTTGGAATTTAGCTATCTCACATTGAACATTAACCCTACTCCATTAAAGACCCAGTAAACCAAATTTTTCTGCTCTTCTTTTAAGATATTGGGATGATTTCAAAAGTGAAATGTATCTTAATTATAAACATGTTAATTCTCTCCAAATTTCCTTTTAAATAACACAATTCTCATTAAAATTCTAACAAGATGTCATTTAAACTTAAAAAACTATTCTAAATTTGAAGTGAAAACAAAATGTGTGAAAATAGTTATAAAACTTCTGGGAAAATAAAGAAATTTAGTATATATAGTTAAATGTGTTATAAACATGTACTAATTAAAATAATAAATGATAGTTGAGAAGGTATATAGATAAATAGAAGTGAACAGAAAAATTGGTAAACTGAAACAAAATTTCTCAAAACATGCTCCAAGGAACGCTGAGAGTTCCTGAGACCTTCCCAGAGGTCTGCATGGTCGTGCCTTTCTCATCTGTACATCTTCTATGTGAGATTTGATTTTTCTCCAGTGAATATTACAATCACAACAGAGTGCCTGAAAAGGCCTGTCTTCTTTGAGGTCAGATCCTAAGAGATTTACAAAAACAATCTCACTTTTCTCATTCTTTTTTTTAGGAAAATTTTTTTCATGGAAATCTGTTGTGTTAACATATAATAGACTTGCCATTGTTAATGAATTGATAAATATTTAAAATAACAGCTTCTAGTAAAATAAATATCAGTATCTATATCTCATCTAAACCAAAGTTCTTTGAGATGATAAGAAAAGAAATAAGTGAAGTGCAAGAACACTTACAGTCACAAGCTGGAGAACCAGTCAGTGGCCTGAATATAACAGTTTGATCTATATTTGATGTATAACACATAAGAACTTAATATCTGTTAGGGACAATTTTTCAAACTAACAGAAAAGGACAGAGTGCTTACTATTTCTGGGAAACCAGTTGTTTAGGACAATGTGTCTCTGTGTGTGAGCCAAAACAACTTTCTGAAAGGAATCTCCACCACTTGTATTGTCCAAATTTATGGAGGAATGGATACCAGGTAATTAATACTCAAACATCTGTCCCTCTTACACAGTTCCATTTCCACAAATGGAAAAAATTCTATCTGTAGTTTAAATGACTGTCAGTTTGAAACAGTTGCAGCCCATTAAATTTAATGTTTTCAGAATTTTCATAATTTTGAACTTTGAATTGCCACCCAATAGGCTGCCAAGTGTTTGGTCTTAATTACAATTGGAGCTCCCTGTTTGGAGAAAGTTCATGACAATATCTGCTGCATCAACTCCAAAGAAGCATCTTTTCTCTGAGTACCATCAAGACAGCTACTGTGTCTGTCCCCAAGATTCTCAACGGACCTTCCCTAAGAGTGGGAGCCACTGATCACTCATCCCTCATATCTAACTGCCTTTTTAGGGTGCTGCCTGTATGGACAATCTCTACATCACACCAGGACCCATAAATCTCAGGAGCCTTCTCCCTGACCCAACCTAGGCGTAATTACTGGGCATTGAATATCTATCAACAAAACAGAGGCATGAACCCTGATCTGTGATAGGACCATGGATTTCCAATTATTTCCCCTCTACTTGTAATCATCCTTTATCAACAACCCTGTTTCTCATGCCATGCTAGAACCTAGTTTATTCATTTAAATATGACACATATTTGAGGCTGCTATCCATGTTTTCCTGCCTGTAATTTTAATTTCAATTAAAATTGATTACCTGATACCTCTTCACCTCCCAACCTGCTATACGTCACTGACTTGGACTAGCAGAAATCTGAAATATGACAGGGAAAGATCGTCTTCATGTGAAGAGTGGGAAAGATGTAGAACAACATCTTTAGAGAATGTAGTAGGAAGTTAACTGAGGAGAATAGCTGAGCTTAGATTATGTCTTAGTTCCTTTTCTCATGGCTGCGATAAACTACTTACCATCCAGAGTTGAAGGAAGAACAGTTTATTGTAGCTCACAATTTGTAGAGGTTTTAGTTCATAGTTAGCTGGCTCCAAGGCTTAACATGGGACAGGAGCATGGCAGGACAGGCAGGCAGCAAGCAACAAGTAACACTACCAGCCTTCTTGTCTCTTACATTTGATCCGGGCTACTCGCCCTTAGGACAGGTATCACTCACACCCTTTGTCCTAGCATCACACTGTGAATCAACCGCAGTGTCACATTTTGATCCCAGCATTACACACTCTAGAGCAACCACCTCTGGAAAGCCTTGCCTGTGATTACATGAGGTGTGAGAACATCTAGACATAAATCATAACCACTTGGAAATAAAAACATGTTATCTGTATCTTTCAATAGAACTTCATTTATTCATCTCAGCTTCCTTGTGTCAGTACAAATTAGAATGGAGGAGGCTCAGAAAGAAAAAGGAAAGAAAAATTAACATTCATTGACTACATTACAAAATTTTCATTTCTTTTAATATTTAATACCTAAGAGATAGTTATTACTGTCTCTGTGTCATATTTAAAAGCATAAGAATTAGGTAACTTAGCAAAGATCACCCAGAGAGTAACTGATAGTCCTGAGATTAACCTAAATTTATATAGTGTCAAGTTTATATTGTATCTTTTAGTGCACTTTCTGTTATTTTAAAATATGTAGATATTTTCTATGTAAAATGTCACATTCCTAACCCATATATTTTTCAAACGTTGTGATTTTAAAAGTTCATCCACCCTAATATCTCTCAAACTATTTTATGAATTTCCTGGAGATTTTATACAGATTCTGATTCAGTAGGCCCTGGATGCAACCAAAGAGAATGAATTCCTATGCAGTTTATATACGATGCTATTACAGTTGGTCCCCAAAACATATGTGGGGTTGCAAGGCCACTACTCTAGATTTTATAGATGAGACAGACAAGCTTCATATAAGTGAAAAGATTTCTTATAGCAAACTAATTAGTGGTGGAGTTGAACAAGACCAAACAATCCAGTGTTCCTTTCATTTCCTGTTTTCTTTATATTATATAAATTAAAATATTACTTATGAATATACAATATCAAATATATTCTTTTGATCAATTTTTATATTTGTAATGAATTTAAAACTTAGAAAAATTATGCATTAATGATAAAATTTCTTCCATTCCAGTTTTCAGAAATAGTTAAAAGTGTTCAGTGTAATAAAAAAAAAAACCCTATACATTTTCTGGCAAATATTTTGATTATGTATTATGGTGAAGCATACAATATACTACAAACCCTGCATGTTAAATTTATTTTACAAACATACTTGAATTTTTATTTTGTTTTGTTTTTACTTAAGTAACTATTTAATTTATAGAGTTTCTGTGACGTTTACATCTGTCCTTCAACAAATTTTATATGCCTTTAAAAA